GGGCGGGGGGGGGGGTGCTATGAAGCTGCAGGGGCTGTGTTTCATACCCCCTCCCCCCCCGGGTTGTGTTCCATTCACCTAGGCATCGAATGAGAAAGCAGAAGGACCCCGGCGGCAGCCCCTCCTGGAGCGAGAGCCACAAGGACGAAGAAATGAAGCTTCGGAAGGTGAGCACTTGCTTCTGGCTGCTAGCAGCAAATATTTGAAGGAAGCCCTCTGAACTGCTGCATGCGCTGGGCTCCTGGGCAGAGCGACGAACCGGACCCGGGCCCAGTGGGGTGTGGGAGCTGCTGGCGTGACAGCCAACTTGTCACATGCACAGATAGCTACTCTGTGATAGCAAAACGATAGCGAAGGGCAGGGTAGGGCAATTGTTGACGGGGGCAATGCCAAGCTTTTGGTAAGTGGGCAAGGGCTGCACTTTTCTATGTAGGGGGGCAGGGTCTGGGACGGAGGCTGGGGGCAGAAGGGAGCTCAAGGTAGGGGCCTGGTTTGCAGGAGGTGGGGGATCTGAGAGGGAATTTGGGTGGCGGAGGTGGTGATCTGAGGCAAAGGGTTGAGGTGCAGGGGATATGGTCTGGGGGAAGGGTGTAGGAGGGGTTGTGGGGTCTGGGAGAGAGTTGTGACCTGGGCTGAGGGGCTGCAGAGGGTTTGGGTGGTGACCTGGGGCAGGGAGTTGGGGGGAGGGCAGGAATAGGGGGCACTAGAGGCAGGATCTGGACAGGAGGTGCTTACCTAGGCAACTCCAGGCCAGCAGCCCTTCAAGACCCTGAGGCAGGCTCCCTGCCTGCCACAGCCCCAGACTACTCAAAGCAGCTGGTTGCTCCCTGTGGCTGTCCGAGCAATGGGAGTGGGGAGGAGGCTTGATGTGCTGCTCCCACCCCAGCAAAATCTCTCCGCTTAGAGTGGAGAGATTTTTCTGGGAGATGGGGGAGCACGCAAAACCTCCCCCTCTTGCCGGTGCTCAGAGCAGAGAGCCACAGGGAGCAGCCAGCTGCTTAAAGCGGCGTGGGGCTGCTCTGTGCTTGTCTTAGAGCAAGTCTATGCTAGAAGCGCTGCATTGGCGGGGCTGTCTGGAGAAAATGCACTAGGCCAACAGGCGAGAACTGTCTTGTCCGTATAATAAACCCACCTCTGCGAGGGGCAGTACCTGTGTCATAGCAGTGCGCACTGGCACTTAGGACGTATAACTTGCATTGCTCAGAGGGTGGCTTATTCACACCCTGCGTGATGGAAGTGTGTACCGAAGTAGGTGGTGGTGCAGCCCTGGCTCAGGCTGAGACTCATTATACCCCATTTAGGTCAGGAGGGATAAATGTATCTTTGGAAGAGCTGCCATTGATGATAGAGGGATCCGTTGCTCCTGGGTTGTAACTGTAACAATAATGTGAAAGGGACAAACTCTCCAGCTGTTTTTAGGACTTTGGTTCTTTAAGGCACCTCTGCCAAGAGATCTCCAGGCCTTTGTCCTCCTCTCAGAGACACCCTTACCAAATAATAAATAAACTTAAAAAACAACCAGTGACAACGTGGGTTGTGTCCAGGAAAGCTCACGATCCTGTCTAAAATGCTTTTGTTAGTCTCTAAGGGTACGTCTAGACCACAGGCTTTTGTCGACAGAGGCTTTGTTGACAGACACTGTTGACAAAACTTCTGTCAACAAAGAGCGTCTAGACTACAGCCAGACTCCGCTTTGTTGACAGAGAGTCTAGACGCTCTCTTTTGAAAAAACACAGTGTGGATGCACTAGCGCCTTTTGTCACCAGAACTCTGTTGACAAAAGGAGTTATTCCTTGTAGAATGAGGTTTACCGTCGTCGACTAAACTGCCACGTTCTGTCGACTTACTGTCAACAGAACTCGGCAGTAGTGTAGACACAGGCATCGTTTTGTCAACAAAAGTCCACTTTTGGCGACAAAACCCTGTAGTCTAGACACACCCTAAGGGTACATCTACACAGCATCCTTGCATAGCTTATTTTGACGTAATATCTAAACAGCTTATTTCAAAATTTGGCACTGTCTATACAGCATCACATTTCATAATAAAGCACTATTCTGAAACGTCCCTTCACCATCATGCAATGAGGTTTATAGGGAGGTTGGAATAGTGAGCCCGTTATATTTCGATATAATGGGTTTGCTCTTAAGACGTGGAATAGCTCTGCAGTGTAGACATAGCCTAAGGTACTACAGGATCACTTGTTTTTTTTTAAGTTTCAGAGGGATAGCCATGTTAGTCTGTGACTTTTAAAACAACATATAGACAGTGTTATCAGCTTTCGTGGGCACATTCCACTTCTTCCAATGAGTGGAGCAAAAGACACAGAACCCCCCAGATTTAAAGCAGAGAAAGAGGGGAGAGGAGGAGGGAAAAAAACCCTGTCACTTATAGTGTCCATGCTAAACGAGGCTAATAGAGTGCCCAGGCAGGTCCTCATTCTTGGATTTCAAAGTGGACATTCTTTTACAAAGTAATTGCAGAAACCAACTAGTGAGAGTGAGCCTGTGGAACTGGCCTTCGTATGTAAATCTGACGCCATCCCTCAGGAACTGAACAAAGACATGAACTGGATGGGCCATTCTATTCAACACCTAGATGATATCAAAAGCTACCGTAAAATCTCGAGTATAATGCGCACTTTTTCCCATTTTTTTTAGCATCAAAGTCGGGGTACGCATTATCTATAATTGACAGGGGGTTTCCCCTTCCCCTCTCTCCTCTTTTTCTGCTTTAAATTTGGGGGTTTCTGTGCCTTTTGCTCCACTCATCTGAAGATGTGGGCTGTGCCCATGAAAGCTCATGCTACCATCTATATATTTTCCGTTAGTCTCTCCAGGACCACTCCTTGTTTTTTAAAGTTACAGATTAACACAGCTCACCCTCTGAGACGTTTAAATAGTAAATGTAAATCAGCAACGCTCCCCTGGAGCCCCCGGAGTGAAAATGCTGGACAGAAGCTGAGAACCAAGCTCCCAGACTTGCCTACGTAATGCTAAGGTGCAGGAGCACAAAGGCCCGGATTTTCAGACAGCTTCACACCCGCATCAAGGCCTGTATGCCACGTCTATAGCTCCCCTAGAGCTATATACACGGCACACGGACAGAGGCACTGGCGTGAAACACAAAATACTCTTTCTGGAAGGGTGCAATGTAACACAACTTCATTTCCTAGACTCCAGAATCTTCACACACAGCTGAGAACCAAAGAGAGAGAGACCCAGCAGGCTGCTCCCCAAGGGGGAAAGGACAACTCCTCTCCCCTTGCTCTAGGCTGGATGGTTGCAGACACAGTGCTGCTCCCAGGTTGCATGGCTGCTCCCTGTGGCTCCTATTTGCCAGAAACCAGCCAGTGAGAGCTGAGGGAAGTGCTAGCACCTTCTTTCCCCGTGTCAGGCCCTTGTCTACAAGCAGGACCTGGAACACCCCTGAACATCAGTTTGCAATTGTAATGCCGTTTTGAATACACGCCCACCCCCAGCAACGGGTCCGCCCTCAGCCAGCGTGAGTTGGCATTGAGTGAGCTGAAGCGACGTTGATTTGCCCCGGCTGAGCTGGCCCAGTCGATCGGACTCCCAAGCCGCCTGTTAATCGTCCTGCTCCTTCGCCAGATCTCCTGGTGAGGAACAGGCGTAAAGGCTCAGGTGGAGACAGAATTAGAACCTGGCTCCGTCCCAGGCCTGCCTGTCCCTGGTCTAGCGTGACCACAACTCCCAGACACTCAGGCTGGGTCAGTTTGCCAGTCCGCAAAGAGCCACGCTGGTGGCTCCAAAAGGAACCAACCCCACCAGTTTGGCGGATCTGTAATTTGCCGTGAAACTGGGGGTCTCAGTAGCCCCACAGCAAAGGTCCTGCTTTCAGGTCGACTTCATCTGGATCAACCGAGACCAGAAGTCCTTTGAGTGGTTCGTCAGCCTGCTGACTCAGCTGGAAATGGAGCAGGCCGACGAGGAGCCAGAGGGTGAGTGGAAGCCAGGCGGCTCTGCTAGTGCGAGGCTACGCCTTCCCTCCGTTCCAACGGGCGACTGACCTCGGCCTGCGCCTCTCACCTGGAGGAGTGCAGGCAGATCCGGTAACACGGTAGAAGGTTGGATTGTCCCTCTAGTGGTGCGATAGGCACGTGGCCCATCTGCAAATGCAGGTAAAGAGGCAGCGGGGGTTGGGGTAGGGTTGTGAGCTGCAGCTATTGGTTCCCAATCCTGGCTCTATCAAGGCTCACTGCAGATCCTTTGAAGGGGGCCCTCCTGGGACAGATTAACGTGTGGCCTAGGCACCTGGATCTGACTATCCACCCCCACACTCCTTCCCCAGCGTGGGCTGCCCTCTCCTGGGTGGCACCAAATGCTCCTGCTTTGCTATTCTGTGCTCCCAGCTGCTGCTGCTCTCGTGCCGCGTCCCCACCACGTGCTGACTGCACTTCCAGCACCTTCTCTCCACGAGTGACACGAGGGAGATCCAGCCTGTGGGTTGGTGGGAGACTCTCCTGCCTAGACAATGGAACCTATAGCATCGGGCTGGGGTATAGGCCAAAAGCGTCCGTCTGGGTGATGGGAAACGTCCTGCCTGTGTTCCCCGGGACAGGTGTTCTCCTAGCTGAGTTTTGACCGGTTTGGGGGGCCATGTGTTTTGAGCCGGCCTTGGTTAGTCGTTCGGTGCTAACACACTGACCTCTGCGTGCTCAGCTGGTTTTCTCTTTGGCTTTTCCCTTCCGTGGACAGACCGTTTTCTAGAGATGCACATGTACATGACGTCCGCGCTGAGTAAGAACGACATGAAGGCAATTGGCCTGCAGATGGCTTTAGATCTGCTGGCGAAAAAGGAACAGAGGGACTCTATCACAGGGCTCAGGACCAGAACCCAACCCGGCCGCCCTGACTGGAGCAAGGTAACGGTCCTTGAAACTCAATTAGCAAATGGGCTTTTGCACGCTTCACTCCTCCACAGCCACCTGCTGCCGGGGGATGCTGGAGTATCTCCAGAGTAGTCAGTGGAGGGTGTCTATTCACAACACTGTCAGTGCGGTCAAGCGAGCATGCCAAGCCTAACCCCTACCACCTCAATCAGGCAAGTTCCTGTCAGAGTCAACGGGAGCTCTGTTTAGGTACGGAACTCAAAACGTTGTACGGAACTCAAAACGCTGTACGGCACTCGAAACACTGTACAGAACTCAAAACGTACGGAACTCAAAACACTGTACAGAACTCAAAACGTACGGAACTCATAACGCTGTACGGCACTCAAAACACTGTACAGAACTCAAAATGTTGTACGGCACTCAAAACGCTGTACTGAACTCAAAATGTTGTATGGCACTCAAAATGCCGTACTGAACGCAAAACACTGTACGAACTCAAAACGTACTGAACGCAAAACACTGTATGACACTCAAAACGTTGTACGGCACTCAAAACGCTGTACAGAACACAAAACGTTGTACGGCACTCAAAACGCTATACAGAACTCAAAACGCTGTACGGCACTCAAAACGCTGTACGGCACTCAAAACGCTGTACTGAACTCAAAACGATGCCTGAGGAGGGAGGGTTCTTGGTGGCTCTTCGTGAAGTGGGAATTCTATAGGAGTCTTTGATGGTAGACTCAGGTTTCATGTCTGCTGTTTAAGACTCTGTTAGATTATCCATGCCCAGGAAACAATCCACCCTCCCTAGCAGCTGTTGATGGCCATCGATGAAAAGAACCTGATTGGCGCCCCCTGGCTTAGCTTTGTGGTGGAAGAGAGCTAGTGAACCAAGGACATGAGAACGGTGTTGACACGAGACATTAAAACAGACCCGTCCCTTGTTCTTTTCTTCCCTTCACGCCAGGTGTTCCGCAAGATGGCAGAGGAAAACAAAGGGAAAGTCCAAGTCTTCTTCTGTGGCTCTCCAGCGCTTGCGAAGGTCGTCAAGACGCACTGTGAACAGTTCAACTTCCGGTTTTTCAAAGAGCATTTTTAACAGGCTTCCTGCCCATCGCTGCCTTTGCCAGAGCTCGGCGAGCTGTCTGTAGAACCCTCTTCCTGCCGGGGATTTCAAGTGTCCGTCTTTGCTTCTGTGATTGCTGGCACGTGCGTCAGATTTACAAGGGAGCTTTCTTTGCTTTCCTCTCTGGCTGGATGTAGGGAAGTTTGCACAAAGCATGGCCTGAAAATGCTCCATGAATAAAGCAAGCTCGTGTTCAGCTGAACCTGGTGTGTGGCACCTCCAGCAGAGTCCCCGTGTGAGCAAATCTAGCCACGCTGGCGTCTCTCCTCTGTGTGGTGTGCTACTGGCTTAGGATGGCCTCCTCGTGAAGAATAAACCTCCCACTTCTAGGAATTTACTGCCCCTTGAAAGCTATGGGCAGATCTTCCCAAAGGCCCAGTGACAGGGGCTGCCCTAGTCGGGTAGCCCTCCTCAGGAAGTGGTCAGGCCAGATACTTCAGGGGAAGGTGCAGGAAACCTGCAGCGGAGCGCGTATGGAGTAACCTGCTTCTGGAGCGAGTTTCTTCCTGATCCCGGTCAGTCAGAACTTAGGCGATGCCCCGATCCTTTAGCACAGGGGTGGGAACTTCAGGCTTGCCTGGATCTGGCCACCAAACCTGCGAGACTGCTCCCCCAGGCTCCTGCGTGCACGGGGAAAGTAGGGAGGGTCGTTTCCCTTCTCCGTCAGGAGCGTCTCACTTTGCGTCTCTCTTGTGGGCAGCCCCCAACTGTGGATCAGCGGCCACCCAACCCAAAAAAGAGCTTCCCCTGCCCTGAGTGAGCGTTTGTGTCCCTTCCCCACCAGTCCCTGGGTTAAATGGGTTGTTTTAGTTGACTCCAAGAGGCTGGCTCTGGGGAGTCACAACATTTACCAGAGGCAACCTAGTGCGAGGGACTCACACGCCGACTTACCGCGGAGGCGGGGCGACCCGTGAGATACACACCCGAGTCCAAGGGCCCGCCTTTGGGGATTCTCAGTGCCAGGGGTTTGATTCAGTCTGGGAGCAAAACTGAAATCCTTATCCAGGTTTGGCTTGTGACAGAGCCCATCCAAGATCAGGGGAGTGTGTCCCCCGGGCGCTGGCCTATCTCTAAATACGGGGAGTTGGCTGCTAAGAAACATGCCAAGAAAATAAACCTACTGGCCAGAGTCTCCGGGGTGGACGGGGTGGCCCCTGGAGGCCTGGTTTAGTCGACTGGCCTGGACACAAGACAGAAATATCCCAGGGAAAAGCTGCCTTATGCAACAGGAGGATCAGACTTAGCAGGGCTCCATCCCACCCCCTAGATAAGGGCACCATTTACGGGGAGCTACCGGGGGACAGTTGCCCCTCCCACGTCGGGACTCCTGGATTTCACACTTGAGGTCTGCTCAAAGCGGCATGCCCTGACTCCAGACGCCAGCTCTTAAATGCAACAGCATGTCAGCTGCTTGCAGCTTAGCCTTTGGAGCAGGGAGTTTGTTATCGAAAGAGCCAGGCAGGGTGGTTAACAATAGCAAAAGGCTGGGCAGTCCAGTCCCTGAAGGATCCTTAGCGTGTCATGAAAACATTGCCGGGTACTCCACTTAAAAGATGGCGGCGGGTGGGAAGAGTATGAATGAGTGTTGTGCTGTATTTGGATTTGGACCTCTGCTGTTAAATGTGAACATGTTCTTGAGGAAAGGGTAAACTGGGATTAATCCACAGCTGACTGCAAAGAGCTACAACGGGATCTCACAAAGCTGGGCGATGGGGCAAGACTAGGGCAGATGGAATTCAGTGTTAAGTGCAAAGCAATGGAAAAATACAATCCTAACTCGAGAGACAAAAACGATGGGATCTGAAATAGCTCCTAGCACTCAAGAAAGAGATCTGGGAACCATTAGTAACAGAGTAAGACTAGACATGCTGGGTGTGTCTAGACCAGTGGTCCCCAACCATTTGAGGCTGCCGGGCGCCAGGGGGCGTGGCCATTCGCCTGCCGGGCACCAGAGGGCGGGGACACTTGCAGGCCCGGGGGCGGGGCTCCCCCCATAGCCATGCACCCGGGGCCGGCGCACCCCCCCCCCCAAGTGCCGTGCACCCGGGGCGGGGCCAGCCCCGAGCACTTGGCGGACGCACACAAATGCCCCCGCGGGCACCGTGTTGGGGACCACTGGTCTAGACTACAGGGTTTTGTCAACAAAAGTGGACTTTTGTCGACAAAACTATACCTGCGTCAACACTACCGCCGAGTTCTGTCGACAGTAAGTGGACAGTTTTGTTGATGGCGGTAAACCTCATTCTACGAGGAATAACGCCTTTTTTCGACAGTTATGTTGAAAAAAGGCACTCTTGTATCCACACTTGGTTTGTCGACAGAACTGGCTGTAGTCTAGATGCTCTTTTTCAATAGAGGCTTTGTCGACAGTATCTGTCGACACAGGCTCTGTCGACAAAAACCTGTAGTCTAGATATACCCTAACATTTTAAGGCTAACCAGTGTCCCTTAAGTGACTGGCCACTAGATGTCAGACTATGTTAATGTTAGAGCTGAGTGCGGCTAACACGTAGTTATTTTTCTTTCTTTTATATAGGAATTAGATACAGTGCTCCTGTCAGCTAACTGCTAAGAAAAGTAGAGTTTTCCAGCGCCTTGGCAGTCCCTGGATAGAGGTGATGTGTGTGTGGGGGGGGAAAGGAGGCAGATGGGGTTGGTCCCCCCCCCCAATTTGATGCTTGGCTTGTACTGAGCATGCTCAGTAACACTGCTGAAGCCTCTGTCCTTAGTCTGTCCTCCCATGCTCTCTCTTTATCCCCCATCATGGCATGCAACAGTTGCCCCTCCCCCCTATCTGAATGGCGCCCCTGGGCATGAGTATGTGCAGATAGGGCAGTTGAACTGAATGCTGATGCCTTTTCCCACAGGCAGTGGTGACTTTAGCTGTTTCCTCACTCCAAAGGGTAACAGTGGCTGAAAAAGTCTGGGTGGCTGCAGATCGGGTCTGTATGTGGATCATCTCAGGCCGTGCTGAGGCCCCTGTGCCCAGCTTCCATGGCGTGAAGTGGCCTCAGCCGGCAGCCACGGGCGGAGAACAGCCTGGCGCCGAGGGGGGCGCGACTCAGCCTGGGTGGGGAGCAGAGCGAAGCGGCGTCGGTCTCCGGGGCTCATTGTCTGCAGGTTAGGAACGGGTTACGTGCCCGACGGAGGGAATAAGCCTGTTTGTCTGTGTCCAAACCGACATCAAAGCCTGAATGAGCGTTTCTTCCACTCGGCTAGTTTCGAATCCCGTTGCACAAAGCCGGGAAATGCCTGTTCTCGGAGCCCAGACAGGCATGAGCCGACAAGCAGCGAGCTTGCTCCTGAGGCAGCGGGTTGCAATGTTGTCATCACTCAGCTTGTGAGCCTTTTCCGCCAGGCCCTTGATGCTGCTTTACAGTGCCTGCCTGGCTCCGTCCCGGCGACGCCCTGGGCAGACAGCTCGAACAGGGGGAGAGTCCGGCCACTCCCAGGGAACCCGGGGTGCAAGCAAAGCCAGGAGAAATGGGAGAGAAAAGGGGGAGCCAGATCCAGAAGGGGACGGAGCAGGACGCCGGTGAACAACCCTCCCACGAGCTGAGCGAGGTGGAGGCTGTAACCTTTCCAGCATGAAATTAAACGCTCACAACTCTTTGAGCACAAGGTGCTGGATCATGATCGGTCAGTTTCACTCTGGGGGGGGAGGGGGGTTGCAGACGGTTTGGCAGCTCAAAAGCCTGGAACTTAAGCAACAGCAGAAAGTGGATGTTCCCACATGGTTGTGAAAGTGTCAGAAAGCTGCCACTTCTGGCTTCCCTTCTGAGCGCTTATTTGATGTAATCCCAAGTCTCATTCACTGTTCCCTTTAATGTTTCCATGTGTGTGCGGAATAATTGTATACGCACTGAGGCATGTGTGGATGTGCACCACCAGTAGACACACACAGTGCTGGCTGTGGGTGCTCTGCTAATCAGCTGGGTGGCACCTGACTCTCTTCTGGGTACTGCCCAAGTGCTCAACGTACAGGGCACACCAGTCTCGTCCCCAGTGTCTTCAGAGGTGTTTGCCCACTGGTGAAATTCTGACAGCAGCTCAGGGCTGAGCACACGACCTTGAGATCCTGGGAAACTGAGGAAAGTCCAGGCCCATATTCAGCTCTGAACATGGCAGTCAGAGCCATCTCTGTTTGGTGAAGGTGGGTGGGGAATTATTATTTTATTATTGCTTTCCCCGAAGAAAAATTTGACCAAAGCTGGGTTTTTCCTCATTTCGGTTGTTGTTGTTGTTTTGTGGGGTTTTTTTTGGCTTTTGGTGGAAAAACTGACAACCCAGAACCTAAGACAATCTGGCTTTCACAAACCACAAACCCAGATGTTTTCATTGATTAGGGCTCAGGTGTGTCCATGAAAACACACTTATTTTCTAGAAAAATAGACATTTTTTTTCACAGACTAGTTTGTTTCATCGCACAGCCGTTTTCAGGCCATGCCCTGTCTGGCGGGACAGTCTCAGCCCCCGCTTATGTTTGGATACAAGCCCTGTAGAACTTCAGCTTAGCTCAACCTCAGCTCCGATTCAGACTCTGTCCCCGGATTTCTGATAGGAGCACTGCAGACAGTATAGTACTCGGTGTTCTTACATATTGGCCTGGCTCCCTGCCACCACTATAAATAAAGCGTTGAAATAGGCCCTTTGTGAGGGAAAGCACGTAGTAAAAGATGGGCCCGATTCATGGCATGTAGACCCAGAATCAGAGCCGCATCATAATGCCCTGTGTGTTTCTGATAGGTTTGGTGTAGCCGGTACAGCCTGTTATAGAGGAAATGACCAAATCGTATGTATACCCTGATCCAGCAACGTGTGTGAGCACATGCCAAATGTTAAACACATATGGAGTCCCAGTGATGTCAGTGGAACTCCTCGCCACAGGATGTTGTGAAGGCCGGGACTTTAACAGGGTTCAAAAAAGAGCTAGATAAGTTCATGGAGGTTGGGTCCATCAATGGCTAGTAGCCAGGGTGGGCAGGCATGATGTCCCCGGCCTCGGTTTGTCAGAGGCTGGAAATGGGCGACAGGGGAGGGATCACGTTCTGTTCCCTCCCTCTGGGGCTCCTGGCAGTGGTCGCTGTCGGCAGACAGGCTATGGGGCAGAAGGGCCATTGGTCTGGCCTTGTGTGGCCGGTCTTAGGTCAGTGTGATTAGCATGGGAGTAAACTGAGGCGTGCGGGCTCCAGGCCCAAGCCCCGCTCTGAGGATTCTATTCTGAACCTCCTGAACCTGCCGCCTGGCCCAGCCCTTGCGCGTAGGACCCGTGGCTCTGCCTTGCGCCGCTCCACGAGCCCGGCGACGGTTCTCCAGGCCGAGCGTGGCTGGCCTGAGCCGGGACGCGGGGCGAGGCGAAGTCTGTCGCTCCCCGACAACAGGAGAAAAGCCACTTTGGCAACAGCGAATTCTTCAGCCACCAGAGGGCGCTGCAGACCGGCCGACCAGCCCTGGGAAAGGAAAGGGGAAAGCAAGG